TATAGTACTATTAATTAATTAGTTTCATACTCTCTTTTGTTTTGTTTTACTATGTGTATTGAAGGTCCGTAATGATCAGCTTCGGCTGGATGGACCACCCTCATTAAAGACAGTGGCGTATCTAGGGGAGGGCGGGGTAGGGGAAGGCGTTAAAAATCAACTAAAATCACCATATTTGCGAATTAGCGCCCCTCAACTAATCATCGAGGCCCCCCACTTTACCTTCGCGCCCCAAATCAGCTCCCCCATTTCAAGACCTCTAGATACGCCACTGATTAAAGATTGTTGAAATAAATAAATAATAAGTTTGATTAACACTCCAGAGAGATCCATTAATTTCGTCTATATCATACCATAGGTGGATTTCACATCGTCCCCATTTGCAACATTGACTGGAAAGTTCTTTTTTGATGCTGAAATGGAAGGTGTTCGTGAGAACGTAACTTTTATATACAATCAACTATCGGATGGAATCATGGCAAAGGTAATTAGAGACACTTAATAATGTTATGAAAAAAAGGAATTATAAATTGAAATTAGTTTAATTAGTTTATCAGTTGGAACGCCTGTTAAATTTGATTTTACCGACACAACTTTGTTTTTGCTGCCGTGAGTTCAGGAATAATATTATTGTTTTATTCTAATCGTTTATTATTGAGTTACGGTTCACCTAATCTATGACGTGCTATTAATGAATGCTCCACATGTTTAATTTTGAGAAAATCCTAAATAAAACAAGTCTCTTTTTATTCATTTTAAACAGAAATATTGATTTAATTTTTATATTTTAAAAATCCACATACTAAGCAATGTTTAAGGAACACTTAGGGAAATGACCTTCCATTTTTTGGTAGGTTGGAACATGGGACCAGTATCATTTTCTAAATATTTCAAATGGACTGACCAACCATACAATTGAGCTATCAAATAGAACACTTGTTGTCACTACAGTACTGGTAAGGCATACTTTTTCATTCTTGATAATCGGTTTTCGTACTTTAAAGTACGCTTTGTTAGATCAATTTTCTTTTGGTAGGACACTACCATTTTAGATTATGTAGTTGTTGTCTTATTTCCACTATATAATTGTTCAAATAGAACACTCTTTCTTTAATGTTTGTTTGTTTTTTTTTTTAATGGCTCGGCCTAATCACCGTGAGTCTAGGACTTTCACCACACAGCCAGCCGACCGCACAATCTGTCTACCTTGCAAGTCACCCAGAGTGCGTCCGGTCGGTCTGCCAAATATTAATACACCACACTGCAGTTTACATAATGCAATTGTTTTGTTTCTCTTATTATATTCAGGAAAGACCGTATGTAATGGAAAAAGAATCGAGTTCGACTCTTGAAGGAAATGATAGATACGAAGGGTATTGTATAGATTTACTGAAAGAAATAGCAACATCCATCAAATTCGATTACAAAATAAAGCTTGTGGGAGATGGTGATTACGGAAAAGAACTACCAAACGGCTCATGGAATGGAATGGTGGGAGAGCTTGTTAGAAAAGTGAGACAAACATTGTTGATATATGTGACTAAAAATGTGCATAAATTGTGATGAGAATCAGATAACTATTATCTACATTCTGAGATATTTTTTTTTCAAATTGCTTAATATCTAAGATTTTATAGAAGATCTGAAAAATATAGGAAATTTCAATTAGGAAATTAAGTGTTCGTAATATTTTAAATATTATGATAATGATCTTGTTATATTATTCTCCTTATTGTTTTTATTTTTCACAGCAAGCTGACTTAGCTGTAGCACCCCTTACAATAAACTACGATCGAGAAACTGTGATAGATTTTTCAAAGCCATATATGCATCTAGGCATCAGCATTCTTTATCGTGTACCCGAGCCTCAGGATCCGGGTATTTTTTCTTTCCTTGATCCACTCTCATTTGATGTTTGGCTGTACGTGCTGTTGGCATTTTTCTCCGTCAGTATTACATTATTTGTTTTAGCACGTTTTAGCCCTTATGAGTGGTTCAACTCGCACCCTTGTAACCCAGAATACGACCGCGTGGAAAATCAGTTCAACTTACTTAACTGTATGTGGTTTGCATTCGGAGGTCTCATGCAACAAGGCTCTGAAATCAACCCCAGGGCCTTTTCCACACGGGTTTTAAGTGGTTTCTGGTGGTTTTTCTCCCTGATCTTGATATCGTCATATACCGCAAACTTAGCTGCATTTTTAACAGTTGAGAGGATGATATCACCGATCCAGAATGCCGATGATCTAGCTGCGCAGACAACCATTATGTATGGAACTCGAGCAGGTGGCTCTACATTATCTTTTTTTGAGGTAAGTCGAATTTTAAAATTGTAAATTGGTTCTATTACGAGTCGACGTGGTAATCTATTTGAAGCTCTATTCATTATTGCCTTCTGACAATGCTAACAAGCCCAGCTATCAACTATTGGTTGGTTTGAGATGGTACCTAGCAAATCTCCACTGGCTTTGAAGAGATATCAAGATAAAGATCAAGACATACCCGTTAGAATGTATTTTAAACGTCGTGAAGGGGCCACTACAAAACTGTAGTGAGTGAGTCATCGTTGCATAGTTTTCCATTTTAATGCCATATTAAAACTCTTTTACAGGAGTCTACAATCCCAACGTATAAGAAAATGTGGGACTTTATGTCATCGAATGATGAAGTACTCATGAAGAACTACTCCGAGGGCATCAAAAGAGTGTTAAATAGCAAGAACTATGCGTTTCTTATGGAGTCTACTATGATCGAATACATCGTAGCCGAAAACTGTAAAAATCTGACACAGATTGGTGGATTATTGAATTCCCGAGGTTACGGGGTTGGGACACAACTAGGTAAGAAGGAACATGTTTAATGGCGGCATGCTAGTAGGCCCTTATTTATTGTTTGACTTATGGAATTGAATCTTAGTCGGATGTACGCTCGCCTTCAGATCTCAAAACACTAGAGACATAAATGATTTGTTTTTATGTCAGCTTCTAAGCATCACAATTTTACTTAGGTCTACTTGTTACGTAATTACTATCATTATTGTCCTGTATGTGCGTTGACGAGGGTTGTAAGATGCAGCGTGGCTGTTTTACTTATATCTTACTGTAATATCTACTGAAATTAACTTTCATGCGTTTTGAAGTTATTGATTTATGAACTAACAAGCGACAATTTTGTTCTGGTGAAGGTTCTCCGTACCGTGATGAAATCACTAAAGTGATTTTAAGACTTCAAGAAGATGGAAAATTGCTTGAAATGCAAAATACATGGTGGAAGAAGGAACAGTGTGAACGGGATGATGCTACAAAGGAGGACGCCAACGAGCTAGGCCTGAAGAATATAGGAGGCATATTTCTCGTGTTACTGTTTGGACTAGCTGTTGGTGTCTTCTTAGCTTTCGGTGAATTTCTTTGGAAATCGAGACAAAACGCTGAATTGGATAAGGTGAACCGTTATCCGTTAATTCTATGTTCTGTACATATTTGCTATATCCACAAACCCTTCCTCTTCTTATTTAAAATAATTTTCTCATTCCTCTTGAAAATCGATGAAAATAATGGAGGCCTTATACAATTTTCTTTTCTTTTTGTTTTATAGAAATCAATATGTGCAGAAATGGCGGCAGAGCTTCGGTTCGCGCTGCGGTGCAATTCCAAAAAGCAACATAGAAAATCATTTGAACTGGATGGCTATCTATCACCACCATTTCAGAGCGCAATGAACGGCCAAACCGCTCAGATGATGGACAGTTTAACGGTGTGATGTTAATGCAGCGTTGCTGAGACTTTTTTTAAAAAAAGCAGGCGATTCCTTCATTTAACGTCATCTAGTTGCTGGATTTGATTTCTCACCAATTATCTTTTAATATCGCAAGATTTTATCATTTGCCAAGAAAGCCAATGTTCAATGTGTTAATTGATAACGCTGATAAGCTGAAGCTGTCATCCGGACAATAAGTATTAGCACTACTATGATACAGCATATTTTTTTTTTTTTACGCATGTTTTTGTTGAATCGCACAGCTTCATTTTGCCGCCATATTGTACGAAGACGTGCTGGCCACATACTCTTTAGGAGAATCAGAAATAGATATAGTTGAAAGTATATTGTTCTGAAATTATCTATGGCGGTAAAAATTGATTTTTTTTTTAAATTGTTTAATGAATTTCAAAGTGAAGTACATAGGAAAGTGTTGATATTCTGTTGATATTTTGCATTATCTGCGTATAAAATGTTGTAGTTTTATCAAGCGGATACCATATGAAGGATATTTAACATGCCAATACGAAAACCTCCTAGATTTGACGAATAGTTGTGGAATGAATATTACAGATGTAAACAACAGAAATAGCTTGTGTTTGTATTTTACAAGAAAATGTTATCAATCGATACACTTTTGAACTCAAATGTTTATTGTTACTACAC